ATTTTCGTGTCATACATGTTCTTCATGATTGACATCGCATCACATGAAACGAAGAAGATGAGGCCTCAGAATGACGATTTGAGCAATAAAGTGGTCGGAAATGGGCTCGACGGTGTGATTGAAGTCACTCAATGGAATTAACGCAAAGGTCCGAATAAAAAAATACAAGCTCTGAGAGGGTCAGGAGAGGGCTCGAAAATATGATTCGAATCACGTCAAGTAAAAAAATAATGAGCCAAAAATGGGTCTTTAAAATGACCATAAAAGAAGGCTTCGAGAGGCCAAAATGAGCGTAAAGAGCAGGAATATCGCAGGGGAATGGCTGCATGTGCAATGTATGTGTGTGCATTAGAAAAAAAGAAATAATTCGTAGTGTAGTTGTAGTTGTTGGTGTGTGGTAGTCGTTTCCGTATGAGGTGTCAGATCCATCTTTTCCGATCGCAAAGGCGTTACTGATAGAATGCTAATGTGAAGCGCTGCTTGTCGCCTCCTAGCGGCAAGTATCGGCCGTGTTACGAGAACGGTATAGAGCTTGTGAGACAGCACGGGCTGGGCTGGTCTTTGCTGTGCATCGACTGGCGTTGCGCCGCACTTCGATAAGGCACAAAACTCGGGACTCTCACGAGAAGCATCAAAGGCCAAGTATCCATGCTTGGTGAGATTAGGTTCACGAAGCTTTGTCGTCGATGGACTGTGAGATACATGTATATGAACGTGTTTCGCGTTATTTTTTTTATTTTTTTGTCAGGCGGTGTATTACCGGGATTACCACTATGGGTTTTTCTTTTTCTATGTGGTCCATCGTCAAGCTACTTGATCGACCAGCAGCGTCTGCGGTCGTGAGCCAGACCCGTGTTGCGGAGTTCCACTTGGATGCGACCGTGGGCCGACCTGGAGCTGCAGCACCCGAAGGTACACAGGGGGTGCTCACTTAAACTCGCGGGCTGATGGAAGTCGTTGGCTTGGCGACCGACGCGAAATGTCGGGTGGTCTGGTGTTGATGCAGGTTGATTGCTCGTGGTGCCGACACTGGTCGAGTTGTTTTATTTTGGCGTCTTGGTCGGTCGTCGTACATGAAAGTGTTTTCGTTTTGGCGCTGGGCTTGTTGACGTGTTTTCGTTCTCGAGGCGTGGAGCTGGGCGATTGACTGGATGCATTAGTTTTCGTTTAGGCGGCGTGGTGCGTTGGATTTGGTTTCTTTGTTTGGGTCCATGTCTTGGGTTTCGGGCATTGGGTTTCGGGGTCGTATGATATGGATCTTGCTGCTGAAGGTTGATGGCTGATGGCGTTAGCGGTGGTGGCGGCGGCTGGCTGATTTGTGCTCTGTGCTCTTTGCTCTTTGCTCTTTGCTCGGTGCTCTGTGCTCATGTTGGTTCAGTGTTGGATCTGATGTTGGTTGTGGTCCCCCTGACCGTTGTTTTTGTTGCTGGCTGGCTGGAGCATTTATTTCTTTGTCTTCCTCGGATACGTCGTCTTGTACAGCGTGGCGATGAGTTCCTCATCGCTCAGCGTCGCGTGGTCTGATGGCGCGGCTCGCAGCAGGCGAAGGCGTCGATTGACGAGGCCTCCTTCTGCCGCGGCCTGGATGACCGACGGCCGCGCCTCTGAGGACGCGGCCACTCGTCGGTTGGTTTCACTGGCGGAACGGCTGGAAAAACGCAGAATCGTCCGTGTTATGCGTTATCTTCGTTGTTACAAAGAGTTCGCATACGTAGAGACTAGCAATCTCCTTCTTCGTCATTCGCTCACCAGGCCGTGGGTGCGCAGGCGGCGGCGCGGGGCCTCGTCTTGTTCTTGTATAGTAGCCCGGGGGCGCTTGCGGCCGCGGGTAAGGCCCATGGCGACAAGCTCCGTGGATTCCTTCCAGGCTTCGCGATCGGCGGCAAAGCTACGCAGTTTGTTGAGGTCCTCGAGAGACATCAGCGACAGAGGCGGCGTCAACGACTGAAGGTCGCGGTGCAACACGATCGGCAACGTGATCTTGGTGCGGCCTAAAAAACGGGGCGCCTCGGGAGCGGCAAAGAAGCGGGCGGCGGCAATGTTGGCAGGGACGTCTTTCTTCAGGCGCAGCACGTGACCCAGCAGGCGCCAGCGTTGGCGGGCGACGATCTCGCTCAGCGGGACACTGTTGCAGCGCTTGTAGAGCGCGACGTCGCCGACCTTGTTCGGGTGACAGATACCTGGAAGGCGGCGCAGCTGCCGCGATGGAAACTGTCAAGGCCCGCCAAACTCGTTGGCGTCAGGGCCCACGTGCCACAGTTTTACAAAAGGACCGGAAGCACTTGTACAGCCGCACACGGTTGCCTTCCGAGATGAGGCCTCGACGCATCAAGATCTTCCACATGTTGTTGAACGCCGCAGTCGCCAATCGCTTCCGAGCGCGCAGATCGGCCGCGTCGTCGAGGAGGCTTCTTGGTCGTGTGCCACGCCAAAGAGGCCGCGTGCGTCGGCGCGTCAACCTGCGTCGACCTGGATACCTGCGTTTCTTCCGTCTTGTCTCCATTCGTCTTGAGGTCCCACCGGGCGAAGACGGATGTCGCCGCGGCTTTGATCCTGGTCATGGCGGCAGCGTCGTGGCAGATGAGGTCCGAGTCATTGGCGTGAGAATAGATATAGTGTATTATAGCGCCGTCACGGGCTTATGCATCGTCGATTTCGTGGTCGCCCAGCAGCATCATTTGCTCGTTAAAGTTGCTCACCCACTCGAAGCAGTCGTCACAGACACGGACGGGGTCCTTATACCCTTGCGATGGCAGCGGTACGCGGCGCGACGAGTGTTCAAAGCAGAAGGAGAATCCACACTGCCGGCAGTGGTGGCGGCGCACGAAGAGCGAAAACTCGCAGTTGCACTCCTACAAAGTCCATCTCAATCTCGTTTCTAACATTGTACAAGAGATACCTTGCAGCGCGAGTCTTTGCTCCAACGCGCCACGTTGCCAGAGAAGGACGACGCAACCGAGAAGCTCGAGTCACAGCGGCGTCGGCTCGAGCTCATGGTGCGGAAGCGTTGCTCGAGGCGCTGCTGGGCTTCGAGCACGTCGGGCTCGTCGTTCTGAAGCATACCGTGCTCGCGCAGCATGTCTTCGTATCGGTACTCTTCCTGGTTCTCGTTCAGCGTCGTCATCGTTCCGAGGTCCGTCGAGAGCGTCCGGCCCTTTGGCAGCGGCGGCCGGCCCACGGGCGACTTGTTGCTCATGGGCGACGGCGGCACGGGCTTGACGGACGACGACGAGGACGCCTCGGGGCTCTCAAAAATGCTGCTCGTGACCTGCACGACCGTGTTTACAAGGTCCGAGAAGCCAAACGACATGTCAAGGCGCGTCTTGGCGTCGCTCGGGCGCCGATGGCGGATGCCTTCGTCAAAGTCGTTGGCAAACTGATGCGCGCGGACGAGCGACTCGCGCGTCGAGGTCGACGACGTCGAGACCGTCGACGCCGTCGAGTTGGCGCGTGCCTTCCCGACCGGTGGTCGTCGTGGTCGGTGGAGACGTGGCCGACCGGGGCTCACGGCCGGCAAGTCGGTCGCAGGATTGTGCGGCACCAAGTCGTCGACAAACGAAATCTCGCTTGCCGACCGAACGCGCGCCAGCGTCACCTTCATGACCTCGAGCTCGGCTTGCATCTTGCGGTTGGCTTCTTCCAGCGCGGCCTTTTGCGCGAGCTCCGACTCGACCTTCTTGAGCTGATCCTGGAGCTTCTTCTTGTCGGCCTGGAGCGTGTGGACGTTGCGCAGCTCGCGCCGCAGCTCGAGGAGCGTCCGCATCGCGACGCGGCGGCGCCATTGACACTGGAGGCGGATGATGCGCCGACGCGAGCGAAGATAGGTCGAGCGGCACAGCCACCGTCGCACGTGCTTTTGCACAATGGTAGCCATCTTGGTCTCGCGCATGAACTGGACCACGACCTTGGCCGCCAACTGGCGGTGCTTGGACTGCAGCTTGAGCAGCGCGCGGCGAAAGCTCTGGTACTGGCGCCGCGCCATGTGCATGCGCGCCCACGTCTGAATGCGAAGGCACGCGCGGGCTTCTGTCCGAGCTCGACGCTCGACGCGCGCCACGTAGCACCGGTACGCACACTGGGCAACGAGCGCGGCGGCCCGGAGCGCCAGATACGCCCGCCGCGCGACGCTGCCGCGGTAGATGCGCTGGGCGTGGATCGCGGCGTGGGAAAACACGCGGCGCTTGAGCGTCTCGAGGTCTTCGAACGCGCGTCGGCGCATAAAAACGCGCGTCTTCCCGAGACTAATGTGCTGGTGGTTGAGCGGCCTACGCATCGTAAACGTCAGATACACAGTAACGACGAGGTGGCGGCGCACCGGGGCGCGGTCGACGATTGGAGCGCGTCGACCACGAGTACAAACTCGGGCAGCATCAATAGCTCGTGAGCTTGCGTGTAGGCCGCGATCTCAGGCACGCGAATGCGCGCGACGAGGCTGCCGTAGCTGTGCAAAAACTCCTTGTGGGTGAGGCGGACGGGGAACCCGGCGCGGGCCACCTTGACGGCTTCAAGGACGCCGCCGCTTCGAAGCTGCTCGACGGTACGCGGCCGGTGGAGGGCGCCGGGGGCGTTGGCGTCGTTGGGCTTGATGCAGCGCACGTAGTGCGGGCACGTGGTCTCGATCGTGCTGAGGAGTTCGGCGAGCTGCGTCTTGAACTGGTCGGCGACGTTGACCGCGCCAATCGCCGAGTTGGCGTTCGCACGGCGCTTGGACGGCGCCTAGACAGAAAAAGACCCGTGCGTACAGGGCGCGTAACAGGAAAACGGTAGCGTACCGCGGCAGCGGCAGCAGCTTGGGCGCTGTAGATTTCTTGGAGGACGCCGTTCTCTGCCGACGCGAGCAGGTCCACGAGCGACTCGAGAAGCGCGTCTTTGTTCTTGTCAAGGAAGCCGTCGACCGAGTACACAACCGGGCCTGCGTAGTGGAGGACGGTGAATTGGCCGTCGCGGAGGTGGGCGGGGCTCGCGGCAAACATCGCGTTCTTGTCGTTAAACTCCTTGTAGTACTTGGTCGCGAGCGCCCGGTCACTGCCCTTGGGCACCTAAGAGTCGCGCTCTCAGCATCCTGTTTCAATCATCAATTGCAGGATCGTACGCGGCACTCTTGGTCGAGGAGCGAGAAGAGGCCGATGGGCTTCTCCTCGAAGAGCTCGATGCACGGCACGTTGTCCGGAAACGCGATGAATTCCCACGCAATGTGCTCGGCTTCGTACAGCTTTTGCTCCGTCTTGAACACATACGTGTTGAACTGCTGCTGCAGCGACTCGTTGGCGTAGTTGATACAGAGCTGCTCAAACGAGTTGATGGCCATGATCTCAAACCCGAAAATGTCGAGGAGCCCAATCAGGTGCGTCGCCGCCGTCGTGCCGGCAATCGATTGGTTCACGCGCGCGACGAGCCACGCAAAGAGGCTCTTGTACGCTTCCATCGCGAGCGCGTTCCGTGCAGTCTTGGCCTGGCCCACGCTCATGCCCATGACAAAGACCTCGCCGTTCGTTCGAATCGACCGCTTCGTCAGCGCCTTCTGCATGTCCATGGGCGGGACGTGGAGCAGCTTGGCCGCCGTGTAGAGGTGCCCGAGCGACGCCTCCGTGACGAACGCTGTCCGCATCGCCGGGTCCGAGTCGTCGGTCGTATGGAACGCCACGTTGCCGAGGTGCAGGACCGCGACGACGACCGCAAAGATGTCTTCCATCTGCGGGCCGGGAATACCAATGTCGCGCATCGCCTGGAGCGTGATCGGGAACTGATCAATGTCGAGGACGCCGTCGCGCCGCTCCATGCAGCCGCTTTGGTTTAGGAAATCAAACTCGCTCAGCGGTACGAGGTTCCAGTCATGAAATTTGCGCCGAAGGTCGAGGCCGTCAATTTGTGGCAGCGAAATCTTCTTGCGCTGCTTCTTGGGCGGCAGCTGGAGCTCGTGCATGGTCGCAATGAGCTCGTAAAAGATGTGAAAGTTGCGCTCGGTCGGCGACTGCGTCACGACGCGGACTTTCTCGAGGAGGTACGTGCGGATGTTGGCGCCGACAATGACGCAGTGCGACGACGACGACGGCGTAAACTGCACCTCGATGAATTTGCCAAACCGACTGCTGTTGTCGTTGCGGACCGTGCGTGCATTCCCAAACGCTTCCAAGACCGGGTTCGACTGCAGCACTTGCGACTCGATGGACGGCCGGCCATCGTTGCTGACGCTGTCAAGGCCGGCCGACATGCGCGCGAGGTAGTTCATAATGATCTTGGTCGCTTCCGTCTTGCCCGCGCCCGACTCGCCGCTAATAAGGATCGCTTGATTGCGCCCGTGGCGCGTCATGTCGAGGTACGCACGCTTCCCGATCGTGTACAGATGCGGCGGAAGGCCTTCGTCGAGGCCAAAGTCACCCATGTGCGACGTCGCGCTGTAGCGACCCATGACGTCGTCGCCATACAAGGCGAGGCTCTTGAACGGGTTGATCGAGAGCAAAATGTCGCCAATCTTGGTGTAAATGTCGTCGCGGTCGTACCGGCTCGAGAGCGCCTGGAGGATCGAGGCCTCGTGCAGATGCGGAAGCGTGATGAGATCGGCGTTCTGCTCCTCGTCCTCGGCGCGGTTGCGTAAGAGCACGTTCGTGCTCACGCCGTCCTTGTCGGTCACGAGCACGACGGTCTCGCGCGCGCCGGTCGCGTCGCGCACGAGCGTGAGGCCGGCGCCGTCCTGGCCGACCACGGTGGCCGCGGCCCAGATGGCCTCGTCGTCGGCTACCCATACATGCGCGCCCACTTCCATCGTCGTCCGAGCGCGGCTTGGCCTTTCTGTGCGTCAAGAGGTTTTTTGCCGTGTGCCAGCGCCGGGGGCACCTTGACTGCCAGGACGGGCGACATGTCTTAGAGCAATGCTGAGCGGCCCGTGAAGGGTCCCTTGGGCGTTTTCTATTGGCGCCCGCGGGCATTTTTAGCTCGTCGTCTGGAATGTGATTGGCGCTATAGAGTTTACCTGCTGGTTTGTATACTTTCAGTGCAGCAGGTCCCTCGCGCGTCGTCAAGCGCTCGCGTCGCCTCTCTCGTGACAGTGGGTCTATATTGGGAGGTTTTTGACCACGTTGCTGCTGCCGGCTCGACTCTCTACAACGCTGCTGCGGCTGCGACGGATTGTACTGGTATCGTTTCTGCAGGAGCCTTGGCGGCTTCTGCACGTTTGGCGAGAGGAAAAACAGTCCACCTCGCGTGCGTCCAGAATCGAAGAAGATGCGGGCAGGCTCGCCACAGGCTCCATGGCTATAAATGGGTGGGCGCCCAAATTCAGGTGAATGGAAGAAGTCGACACGGCGGCGGAGGACGGCGCGGCTGCGAAGCGAGGGCGCGTTGTGCATCGCGCTTGCCACGTGGCGCTGCGAAGCGTCGAGGAGCAATTGCAGAGGAGCGCTCGTCCTTGATGGCGCAATTTTTACGCTGAAAATCGAGGATGTAGCTACTCGTGATGGACTAGCTATTTCCACATTATTCAACTGGACAGTGACGTGGTTCGGTGATGGGGATGGACTGAAGCTCACGAAGCTTCTCTCGTGCGCAAAAATACGGCGACCGCTTCGAGCCCGACAGGACGCTTCCATGTCTTCCCTACTTGTCTGATTCACGACCGCGTCGCATGATGATGAGCCCCGTCGCTTTGGGTTCTAGATCGCTTGCCCCGGGGCACGACGGTCCGACCTGGTCGGCCGATTCTTTTTTAATAAAATAAAACGGTCGCCGCATATCCAGATATCCAGTGGTCTGTAATAAAATACACGGTGGCCTCTTGGTGTTTGTATGTCGGTCGTGCCTCGCGTGATAAAAATGCACGCCTCGTCGCGCCGATGATTGGCTGCCGCTTAAAATTATAACCAATCCGCGGCCTGCCCCAGCCCTACGTCGCCCCGTCGCCACTTATCTTGCTGTTTGTATGCGGAGCGGTTGGCCGCCACGCCTGGGGTTTTCATTTCGCAAGTCGCCGGCTTCCGACTCCGCTTCTCCGCAAACGACTAAGTCTTCCGAGCCCTAAGGCAGAGAAGTAGAGCATACAGCAGCAGCAGCAGCAGCATCCTCATCATCATGGCCCTGGAGACTAAGGCGTCGCTGGCGACGCTCGCGCAGACCCAGTACCAAGGGTTCACGCAGTTGCTACAGACGTTCGATGGACGCGTCCATGAGCACGAGACGCTCCTGGGCGTAAGCCCCATGACTGGCAAGGTAAGACGCTTTTTCCGAGTGCATATATACACGGTGCGGTGAGCACGTTGGCGTCTGGCATCGATACAGTGGACGTGGGGTCTAAACACGTATCTTTGGTCGTGATGAGACGACGAACTGCTGCATATTGGGCCTTGCGCCATGGCGCGACCGAGCACGGAAGCGCATGGCGCACGCATCCACACACATACACCTTCTTGCCCTATGCACCTATGGCCGGATGATTCATATCTGTCTCTGGTCAGGCCTGTGGAAAGCGCAAGCGCACGGAGAATGGCAAGCCCATGTACACTACCGCGCGCCCGGTCAATGGCCAAGAAACCACGCTCCTTGCGATCTGCGACAAGGACTGCGTGCTCCTCGAGGCGCCCCACTGCATTACCGACTTTATGGCTCTCTTTGCCAGTGCCAAGACGGTACGACGACTCGACGCGCAGGAAGATCGCTCACGCCGAGATATATGGGCGTAGGAACCCGACCAGGCCAAGCTCTTGCACGTGCTTGAAGCCACGGCCAAGAAGGGCACGCCGCACGCAGCCGCCGTCATCACGGCGTTCGAGACGACGGGCGGCATGAAGACGGCCAAAGCTTGGCTCGAAGCCGCCGTGGCCTTCAACCAGACGACCTTTTTGCACCTGGTTCTAACGGTGCTGAAAGCGCTGCCTATAACGCTCGCGAGCATCACCGAGGCGCGCATCAACGAGCCGATCGTCGCGCTGCGCAAGTCGCCGCCGAACGACGTGGTGAAGCGGTCGGCCCAGGACCTCCTCAAGTCGTGGCGCACCAAGTTTACAGAAAAACCCGCTCCTCCTGCTACCAAGGGCAACTCGAGTCCGCCGTCCAAGCAGTCGTCCCCGACAGCGGCGGCCGTGGTGGCGCCCCCAGTTGTCTCGGCCCGCGTGCCCACGAAGAGCAACACGCTACTGACCAACCTCCTCATGAAGCCCAAGGAGACCAAGATTACCAAGGCCAAGGACACGACGTTGACCAAGATGCTTCAGCAAAAGCAGCTCAAAGACAAAGAAGGTATTATCGCCAGTGGTCCTTGTAGCCTGTCGCTCAGTGTCGTGCTAGGTGTCTCGGCGGCCGCGTCGTCGCCAATCGGGAAGGGCCTCGCACTGCCCGCGATTGTGAGCTTTGGCGACGTCAAGACGACGGACGCACCGGCCGTCACGAGCAAGAAGCGTATCCGCTGGGCTGACAACCACGGCAAGGACCTCACGCACGTCAAGCTCATCGAGTCATGGCGCGACATTGTGTACCACACGGAAGCTGACGATGAACCTGCCGCGCCGCCCGCCGCCGCGCCGCACCATGACGTACGCCACATCCTCCTCTCTTGCCGTGTAGTAGTAGCTCATGTAACCCGTAGAGCTTCAAGGACGCCAAGCTACGGGAGCACGCGAACGAAAAACACGCGTTTCAACAGTACGCGACTGATGGTGTATTCCAACATGAACTAAGATGTCGATGTAGTAAACACACGGAGCGTCCCGCGCCCATCAAGCCGACGATGGAGTGGCGCACGCCGCTCGCCGTGCAGCTGCCGCACGACGTGGCCGGCCGCGCCGCCGACCACACGACGAACGAAACGACGGCCCAAGCTGCCCGGACGCGCAAGGATGTCGAATGGATCTTGCTCGGCAACGAAGTGCCGCCGTCGACGCCGCACGAGTGGGTGCGGTCGTCGGCCGATGTCTTTATGGGCCCACCCGTTCGTATTGCGCTCGCGGATGGCTCGCCCGAAGACCACCGCCACGATGTCTATGCACTGCCGCCTGTGGCGGCCGACACGGCGGCCGTAGCCAGTGTCTTGTCGTTGCTGGAGAAGACGACTGTGGCGCTTCTCTTGGACAATGAGCACGTGCTGGCACAAGTGTACGACGAAGTGCTCCGCACGCGCCGCCGCATCTCGGACGCGCGCATCTATGAGCTTGTCGAAGCCAGTCGCTCGCAAGGCGGCTACCACCACCCTTCGCATCCCCATAACAGCTATAGCACAGAAAGTTCGAGTAGAAATCCGTCGACGTATGTCGAGTACGGCGCCAAGAAGCGCGGGTATGACGGCGGGTCGTACAGCGAGCCCGCGGGGTATGCGGCGGCCAAGCGCCACCAGCCCGCGGCGCCCATGTATAGCCCGCCACCGTCGGCGTACGCGCCCGAAACCGACGCTGCATTTGGCCGCCCCGCGCCGACTACGGACCGGCCGCGGTACCGCAAGGTACCGTGCAAGCATTACCGCACGGCCCGAGGCTGCAAGAAGGGCGACGGTTGCCCGTTCGTCCACGAAGGGGCGCCCGGTAACATGCAAACGGGCGGGCGCCCGTCGGCCTTTGACACCTCGTACGGTCGGGGCGGCTACGGCACCCAAGCGCGACCAACCAACGGCGGCCGCGGCTACTAGAATTAGGACGCATAACGTAATTTAGCAACCACTGGGAACATTTGCCTAATTTTCACAACTATGTAATATCGATAGTCTTGCTTTTTACACTCGTTGTTGCTTTCAGGAGGACAATGTCTCTCTCTCTTCGTGTGCGGTAGACCAGTAGTGCGGGTGGTGTTGGCTTGTACGTTCTGAGATGTTCCTGCAGCGCGCTGTGGCCCACTGGCATCGTTGGTCGCATTGGCTGCCCAGTGAGTGTGCTGGAGCCTCAGCGACATCAACGCGCTACGGCGTGTCGACGAGATATTTGTATCGGTTTTCTTTCATCATTCTCGAACTACAAGCACGAGGCGCGCACAAAGTGGCCGCGACGTCACCTCGTCCCGCGGATCGCGCTCCTGCCTCCGCCTGCCTAAATCAAGTCCCTCAACCGAGTACAGACAACGAAGAAAGTCCGACAATTTTATTTAGCATAGTTTTATCTATTGTTGTTGAATTGGGTCCTCTATTACAATAGAT